AGCTGGAATTCGACCTTCTTTGGAAAGTAGAATGATTTAGAGATGCCGATGTTTTCAAGGTCCGGGTAGGGATTTTTATAAAGCTTAGTCTCACATTTTAGCATCATGAATGTTTCCTTGCATAATAGGCAATGAAATGTATTTTATTACATTTTACCGCAGGGGTTATTACAATTTGCCGCAGTTTCAGTTATTACAATTTGCCGCAGTTTTTATTACAATTTACCGCGGCTCAGTTATTACAATTTACCGCGTTTTTTATTACAATTTACCGCGGTATTACATTTTACCGCGGTGTTATTACAATTTGCCGCAGTTTATTACATTTTACCGCGTTATTACAATTTACGTCGTAACAAGGTTACAGGATGATCTATGGTGACAGGTTGACTTTATTTCCCGATTTGATTACTCAAAATTGTTCTCGGATGCAATTCGATTTTTGACTTCCAGGTAAGTTCAGGGCCCCGTTTCACAAGCTGTCGTAGTGTTTCGACTGTGGTAACTTTATGTTAAAGTATAGGAGGTTTGGCCTCTATCATTCCAATTGACGCAGACACATACTTGTAATATAGTTGCTTTGTTGCTTTGAGTGGCAGGAGAAGTTGAAGTCTTGGTTGTAGTCGTAGTCATAGACGTAGCCGTATCGGTTATACTAGTAGCAGTGGTAGTACTGTAGTACTGTAGTACTGTTCGTCGTCGCAGTGGTGATGGTAGTAGTAGTAGCAGTAGCAGTAGTAGAAGCAGTAGTAGTTGTGGTTGTGGTGTTGTGGTGTTGTGGTGATCGTTGTAGAAGTAGTAGCATTCATCGTCCTAACGGTAGTAGTATAAGTAGTTGCAATCACAGTAGTAGTGTGTGAGTGAGTTATTGGCAATATTCCAGGAATATCACTGCGGGGACACCAGAAATTGGTTTACACAAGGTGAATATGTGGGGAATTGAACCCGGGTCTTCGGCGTGACGAGCGAACGCTTTAACCACTAGGCTACCCCACCGTTCCACAGTAGTAGAATAGTAGTTGTAGTTGTAGAAGTAGTTGTGGTAGGAGTAGTAGAAGAAGTAGTAGTAGGAGTAGTAGTAGTAGTAGTAAATGTAGTAGAAGTAGTAGTAGAATAAGTAGAAATGGTAGTAGTAGTGGTGGTGGTAGTGTAGTGGTGGTGTGGTGGTGAGTAGTAGTAGTGGTGGGTAGTGGTAGTGGTGAGTAGGAGTGGTGGTGGTGGTAGTGGTGGAGTGGTAGTGGTAGTGGTGGTAGAAGTGGTGATGGTGGTGGTGGTGGTGAAGTGGTGATGAGTGGTGGTGGTGGCAGTGGTGGGAGTGGTGAGTGGTAGTGGTGGTGGTGGTGGTGGTGGTGGTGGTGGGAGTGGTGGTGGTGGTGTGGTGGTGGTGGTGGTGGTGGTGAGTAGTGGTGGTGGTGGTGGTGGTGGTGGTAGTAGTGGTGAGTGGTGGTGGTAGTGAGTGGTAGAAGTGGAGTAGTGGTGGCAGTGGTGGGGAGTGGTAGTGGTGAGTGGTGGTGAGTGGTGGTGGTGAGTGGTGGTGGTGGTGGTGGTGGTAGTGGTGAGTGGTGGTGGTGGTAGTGGTGGTGGTGGTAGTGGCAGTGGCAGTGGTAGAGTAGTGTAGTGGTGTGCAGTGGAGTGGTGAGTGGTAGTGGTGGTGGTGGTGGTGGTAAGTGGTGGTGGTAGTGAGTAGAGTGATGGTAGTGGTGGTAGCAGTAGTAGAGTAGAGTAGTGGTGGTGGTAGTGGTAGTGGTAGTGGTAGAGTAGTGAGAGTAGTAGTGGTAGTGGTGGTGGTAGTGGTGAGTGGTGAAGTGAGGAGTAGTGGTAGTAGTGGTGGTGGCAGTGGTGGTAGTGGTGGTGGTAATAGTAGTGAGTAGGTAGTAGTAGTGAGTAGTAGTAGTAGTAGTAGTCAGTAGTGGTGGTGAGTGAGTAGTAGTAGCAGTGGTAGTAGTAGTAGTAGTAGTAGTAGTAGTGGTGAGTGTAGTAGTAGTAGTAGTAGTGGTAGTAGTAGTAGTAGTAGTAGTAGTAGTAGTAGTAGTAGTAGTGGTAGTGGTAGAAGTAGTAGTAGTAGTAGGTAGTAGTAGTAGTAGTAGTAGTAGTAGTAGTAGTAGTAGTAGTAGTGGCAGTAGTAGAAGTAGTAGTAGTAGCAGTAGTAGTAGTAGTAGTAGTAGTAGTAGTAGTGGTAGTAGTAGTAGTAGTAGTAGTAGAGTAGTAGTAGTAGTAGTAGTAGTAGTAGTAGTAGTAGTAGTAGTAGTAGTGAGTGAATGAGTGAGTTAAGATTTTAAGTCACATCGTCAATATTTCAGCCATTTCGTGACTACAAACAAGCTGTAATTTTACAAAAATAAAGGTAAATTATATTAAAGAAATGTCTGTGAAGAACCGTAAAACTACTAGTTTTGTCACAGATTTCAATGTAAAACTAGTAATTAACACTAAAACATTTTAACAATTTAACAGTCAACGTCACAGAGGCCAACTCTGCGATCTACAGTACAACACTGACGACTGGAGTACGACATACAGGTGTGTTTGTTTAGATAATCTCTTGCTATGTATTATGCGTCTTTCACTGACCACTTAACTCTCTACAGTGTCATGGCCAATTGTGCTCCTTCGATTGATTTGAGTGAGTGAGTTAATATTTAACGTCACATCGGCAATATTTCAGCCATATCGTGACGAGAACATTTGATATTGAAATGAAATATATGTATATTATAAAAAACCTGCCGACGAAGGACAGCAAAACAACTAGAATATCACGGATATGTATGTAAAACTAGTAATTAAATCTAAAACGTTTTAACTATAGGGGAAAAACAATACAGTATAAAAATGGGCTATAAATCGCCAATAACTGAAGGTAGATCACCATACCAGGGACCATGGGGACTTACATTACTTTTGCTACCCTAGTTATGGACCCTAGTTGGATTTACACCATCCCTTCAGCCATTGGCAACAGAAGAGAAATCTAGCCATAAATGAAAAGCACACATATTCTACGATTAAAAACGTGGCAAGCCTAAATTTACTCTAAATGTGTTGGGACTTACCTATGATTGATTTGAACTCAAGCATAAGCAATATATAATCATACACCTATCATAACGTATGTGATTTGATTCAGCACTCTTAGATAATCTCAATCTTGCAGTATTGTTGGATTTAGTGAATTCAAAATTAGTGTGGCACACACACATACCTACCACACACGCACGCGCGCACGCATGCACATACACGCACACTACGACTTCAGACATACGGAATTCTATAGTGAAATACTTACTCCTGTATGTCTTAAGGTTCCGGCACCACAGTTTCGATGACATCGGCCCCGACGGAGTCTATAAAACGTAGGTATTAACTATTAGTAATGCAGTCTGTATAATCCGATCGAGACATCCCGCATACAAGGCTTGGGAATCAATGAAATATTGTTATCGTAGAATGACTACAATGATTTATTGATCGATGGCATAAATTGTGATTAACTTGCTTTTCGTATGAATTTTCGTCATGAAATGAACAAAGATCATCGTACTTTCTGTCACTTATGCAGATGAAATTATCTACGCTGTCGCTGGCTCCGTGGGTGGTGTGGTGGTCGTCGTTGTCATCATCATCATTGTACTATTGTGCAAACTATGCAGAAGAAGAGGTATATATTAATTGAAAATATAAAATGCACACCAACATTCTTCTACTGCAAATTTTATATAAGGCTCATAGCTTTTTGGTGAAATCTAAGCGCATTCCACCTCAACTTACTCATTGGCGATGTGTGTATGAACTGAACACGATCAAGATTGCATCTTTAATTGTTAAATATTTTTCAGAAAATGCAAAGGAAGAAAAAACAAGGGTAAGTGATTGTTGTTTTATTTCTCGACACTAATCTGAATGGAGACCTTTAAGTGGTAGTTGGAATCAGCAACGTCAGGCAATACAGGGTGGTGGGCTAGATACCGTATAGCACGCTTGCTCCATCTTTGTCTCTGTAAACGATTTGAGTGAGTGCGTGAGTGATTTTCGTTTTATGCCGCTTTTAGCAACATTCCAGCAACATGACGGCGGGGCACACCAGAATGGGCTTCACACATTTTACCAATGTGGGGAATCGAATCCGGGTCTTCGGCCTGACGAGCTAACACTTTAAATACTAGGCTACCCCACCGCCCCTTAAAGGATTAAAGAAGATGTACAACGAAACAGGACAATCGTGTCTCTGCATGGGTCTGTGATAGGTGCAACCTTTGGCAAAGGAAACGCCCACATGTCGCGAATGATCGAGTATCATAATTCATTAACAGCAATACATAAACACACGTTCATGATACAGTCGGAATGGTAAAAAACATTTAAAGACATATTGCCATATCCCATAAATCCACGGTATTACAACTGGACCGTTTTGCTTTTTGACCGAGATAACATATTTGTGATTATTCTGTTCCTTGAATATTTCAGCAAAGAAGAGAAATTCAATGTGGACTCTAAAAGAGAGACTGCCGGTATGTTTAGTTTAAACCATTTATGAGTTTCTCTTATATCTAATCTCAGATATTATATCAATGAAACCTGAACACCGGGTGTTATTTACGATCTTGCAAATCTCAAAGTTACATTGAAATTGAATGTTGTTCTCTCTTCCAGTGATGAAAGATAACGATCTCTACAGACAATATGCCGACAAGGGTGTCGACGGAACTGAACACCAGGTGTCAACAGAGAAACAGGAGGTGATAGGTAGGCTATATTGGCTATATTGGCTATATTGATAAAGTGATTTATATAAAGATCCTTTACAATGCCCCAGTAACATGTTTTTGTAGGGAGGTGTGCTGGCCTAATGGTTAAAGCGTTCGCTCGTCACGCCTTTGATCCAGGTTCGATTCCCCACATTGGGCACAGTATGTGAAGCCCATGGTGTCCCCCGCCTTCATATTGCTGGAATATTCACTCTGCTTTTTGTATCGATATCTTGTACATGACGTCAATACGTAATGACGTGTATCACGGATTTGTGAAAGCTGAAAGTCAGAAGCCAGCAGAAAAGCAGCAGGTGCCAGGTAAGATGTTCCTTGTTCTGGAACCTGGATTTTCTTTGATAAGATGTGGTTGGTAACAATATTTATGTACATTAACTGTGGTTTCATTATCCGGTAACTATTTATGTATCCCCGTCCCCTTTCATGGTCTTGGATTGGCATTTCAGCATGGCAACGCTACACCCATATCGTAGTAAGCAACTTCTCCTGTTACGCCTGTGATGATGCCATGACTATAAGGAGACGCGTTGTTGCCGCTACGGCCGTTGTAGGGGTCACGCTAAGTCTTGTTTTTGACTGCTTCTGTTTAAGAGTTCGCGTTGGAGGATGGGACAATCATCTGCAATTCGTTTGTACTGTTACATGGATGAAAGCAGTCTGATACACTTCTGTATTGATATCAATGCACTTATTCGTGTGTGTGTGCGTATGCTTGCGTGCATGTGCCAACTATGATAGTATCACCCACAACATTTGTATGTACAGTAACTATTTTATTTTATACTGACGTGTTTTCTCATCAACATAGACGAAATAACAATATATACCTAAGATGCATTCTAAGACGAGAATTAAAATGACCTTTGTTCTCCATTTAAGACGTGTATTCAAAGGTCAACAAGGTGAAGAAAAGCAACAATGCAACAGAAGTACAGATCACTCTGAGTATTGAAGACCTGTATGCGAAGCCCATCAAACCAGCAAACGGAAGGAGTGAATGTAAGCCCACACATAAAATATTTTCTAAAGTGTCATCTGTATTGATAGATATTTATCAACAAGGTTGTAGACAAAATAGTTTGCACAGCATAAAAAACTGCTCACGTCAGAGTAATTTAACCTATACCATGGCATTGCAAATCTCCTAGCCATTTATGTAACACTGAGTACAAATCTTTCAACAGAAGTGACATTCTCCCATCAATCATGTAACATTATCCTCACCTCACCTCACCTCACCTCACCTCACCTCAACTCAACTCAACTCAACTCAACTCAACTCAACTCAACTCAACTCAACTCAACTCAACTCAACTCAACTCAACTCAACTCAACTCAACTCAACTCAACTCAAACCATGACACAGACAATCTGTTATGTTAGATGTATCGGCATGATTAATACCTTAAAATGTGTGCAGGTATTGTGTGCAGCCCTTGATTGTCAGGATGGAGCATAATGTTAGCTATACCTACGGTTTATGGCAAAACGTATCTGTTGACGTGTCTATGACGTTTTCACCACTGTAGCACTGAAGTCTGGCATCATCGTAGCCATGGTGACAGGATACAGCACATCCTACCAAGGTTTGCTGAGACCCAACTGCTTATTCTTTCAGCGTCATCCTAAGTGTCATCCTACCAGAACGTGGACGTCAGCACCCCAGACTGACCGACAGACGTCATCAGAAGCAGTGGTCGTTGTGGACTTCCAATCCAGTGATGCTGAAAGGGACTCTTCCTCATGATACGCTGTCATTACACCAACACCAAAGAGAAATATACACACAATCATACAGCTTAATGCACCATTAAGTATTGTCACCATAACCCAAGTTATTCAAGCTTTATGACGGTTTCCTGTGAGGAAATCCAGTGACGTATTGAGATCAACGATTTGCCCCTTCGGGATACGATGACGTTCAAATTGGGAGGCTCACACGACCCACGATACTTGGGATGTATTTCAACTCGATATCCCAACAGGAATGTGTTTGTTGAGTACAATCTGATACAGTTTCCTAACATTTTATTATGATTTTGTTATTACTCACTGTTTTACTTTGCATCATTGTTGTGAATGCTGTATATCCCCATAGAATGACTTTCGCCATTTTCTCCCCAAAATGCACAGTGAGAAATGACCGTCTCAAACTCACAATAAGCGGAGAATAGAATAGACTAACTTAAAACATACCCTAATTCATGAAATACTATTAGATACGTCGATGAACAGAAATGAACCAAGCATTGTTGAGTATGAAAGGAAAAACATGATTTTGGAACAGAGGTTAGGGGAGTGAATAGATGTAAATAAGGTACTTTCGTGTCTCTATTACACTTACGACATTTTTAGTATTAAAATCATTATGTAGTAAAACTATATGTAAGCCTGTAAATGGCTCTTCTGTGCCTGTTATGGTTTCAAGAAATCCGCTGACTTTGTGTGAAGGGTACCAATTCACGTACATTTTTTTTAGAGTCATCATTAGATGTTTGCCAAGGTTGCATTCTGAATCCCTTGTTATATACTTTCGTTATTGATGAATTGGTTAAACTGTGATCAGTGAATATTTGTCATTGAGCACATCAATATACTGCTAAATTTGTTTGCTGATGATTTACATACCAAGTGTCAACTCTGCAAAATCAATTGATTATTTTAGAAATGTTTCGTAACACATTACAACCTCGAGTTACCATGGATGAGTCTAAGCTAATGTATTTGAGTAATGCTTTTCTCGTTTGTATACATGAAAAATGGGTCTTCTGTAATAGGAAAAAAGAGATATAAAATGATATGCATGTGGACCCGTTTTTTGTAAAACTCAAGACGCTTTCACATTGTAAATCACCGATTTTATGCATTGGTATTAAAGAATCTGTCTATGTAACTGTCAACAAAATAAACAGCAGAACGCAGAAGGCTTGCAGAGGGAGGGTGGGAGCCAATGACCTGTAACAGCGGCTTTCATGTTGATGTACAAGTAACCTGTGAAAAATAAGGATCCGTAACTTAGCACATTTAAACAATATAAATATAATCGGTATTCCCCAAAAGTATTGCTCCTCCAAATTAATATGAACAACAACTTGTAAATATTGCAAAGTGCACGAAAGCAACATAAAATCACAGCTGTTGCAACATGCTGTCAAATGTGACTTCAGCATGAAACGTTGCGATATTTTTAAGTTTTGTCTTGTAGGCTTTACATGTTTGCTTGTAGAGTGTTCATAACTGGAAGCTGAAGACATTGCCTTGTACTTATACGTTTGGCCATTTGCCTCATTGCTAATGAAACATGTCAGTCTGTTGGAGAATTCTTTCACGTGCCAAAGAGCTACACCGAATTACTATTTTATATTCTACTGATGTATCATATGTTACCAGTATGTAACAAGTGCTTAATAAATGATAACTGAATTAATCGCCTACGTGTAGTTATTGGCAGTACGTATGTTTTACTGCCTTATGAGAATTGGTATCAAACGGTTATGTGGTTGTCCACAATTGTTGGAATGACTCGGGATGTAAAGATACAGCTACGTAATATACGCGGTAGCAACGTACGTTGTCTTTACATTCTGTAACGTTAGACCCGTGAAGATCCGGGTTAGAATTGATGTTCAGTAACTCATGCTTGTCGTAGAAGGCGACTAACGGGATCGGGTGGTCAGGCTCGCTGGCTTGGTTGACACATGTCATCGTATCCCGACATCGAAGATCGATGTTCATGCTGCTGATCACTGGATTGTGTAATTTAATTATACAGTCATCGCGAAAAGAACCAGGTGGTTGCGAAAAGGCGTGGGCCTGCCAGTACATTCTGCACCCTTGGTGGCCTCTATCAAAGACACATGCTGAGGCTGTGTATGAAAAAACAACAAAAAACAAGCCAGACATCAGGGCTGGGGCTGGTAACCAGAGCAGGATGAATTTAACCAGACCAGACACCTATATATGGTAAATTTACTCAGATGTATGGAACATTTTTCACCAGACCATCGGTGACTTTTTTGTCATTAATGTAATAAAGTGTAAAAATGTAAAAGAAGTCTAATGTGGACTTTTTATCATCATTTAATGAATGAATGAATGAATGACTTTATTGCAGTGGAGGTCCACAGGCACATTATACAGTGCATTGTGCAAAGATATAAAAGATATAAATAATAACAGTCATGGTTAACTTGGTGACACAAACGATTTACGTTTTTTTCATTTCAAGGAATACGTACTTTCCTAGACATTCAATGGTACATACATTATCTGATGTTAAAAGTAAATATAACTTATGTTCTGATGAGATTGCCAACAATATTTTGGTAAAACTGATTCGTTATTAAATGGGCACTGTAAAGCAAAATGTAATTCTGTTTCTACAGCTGGAAAAATACATAGCGGACATAGACGTTCCTCTCTCTTTTACCCCAGTTTCCGCCCCATTTCAACCATTAAGCAATGATTAGAACATCTGAGAAAACAAAGTGTAGAGAGATAGATTTTCACCGATATACTAGATAGATAATTTTCAAATGTAAATATAAAAAAAGTGTAAAAAATGTAAAAAAAAGGGTCAAATGTGGACTTTTTATCATCAATGTAATAAAGTGTAAAATAAGTGTAAAAATGTAAAAAAATCAAATGTGGACGTTTTGTCATTAATGTAATAAAGTGTAAAAAAAGTGTAAAGAATGTAAAAAAGTCAAATACGGACTTTTTATCATTAATGTAATAAAGTGTAAAAAAGTGTAAAAAAGTCAAATGTGGCCTTTTTATCATTAATGTAATACCAAAAGCACCAACCAACAGGGCCTATTCAAGCTTCCCTTCATTACCCTTGTTCACTTGCAATGAGTTATTTATGTGTAAACATTCCATAGATTCGTATGTACATTTTGTCATTCCATGTAGAACTGCAAAGTTAACCGTTACGGTATCGATGCTTTTATTTACGTACAGGGGCCGCGGGCTGATCACACACGTACAGATGTGTACAAACAGGACAAAATTAAATATGGTACAGGAAGAATAATGCAATCTATACACGATGCTGCAGGTTTTTCTTGGAAAAAGGAATTATGGGGTTTTTTTCAAAGCGAGAAATACGTATTTTGCAAGTTTATTGCAGACACATTAACTTTGTTACTTGAAAATAATATTGTGGAATAAGACTGGAGCGCAAATCTGAGTAAAATGGGCACACTGACAAAAGTGGAATTCATCTTCAACTTTGGGATAACACACAACCGTATCGGACCCCATCCTTACAGACCTATTGAATGAATGAAGGAGATTCAAAACAGCCTGTTGTATGTTTTCTTTAACGGGATTCGAAACTCAAATCAATGCTCTTAATAGTTCTGGAATTTGTGTGACGTCTATAAAATGCAAAAAAATGGTTATAGATTTGACTGCAGCTGTTCTGTTTTCGTTCAACTGTGAAAATCCAAAAGTGTAAGATATAAATATTCATGAAATTATTGTAGGAATTCATTGTACGAATTGATTTTAAACAAAATTTTGTGAAAATATATTTTCCAATGTATGTTTTAGGATGTAAAACCGATGGAATGAGGCAGATAGATGTGACAATTCAGGTTACAGGTATCCAGCAACCCAGGCTTGTTATAGAGGTGCCTTGCGGGATAGCAACCCATGCTTGTTATAGAGGTGCCTTGCGGGATAGCAACCCATGCTTGTTATAGAGGTGCCTTGCGGGATAGCAATCCATGCTTGTTATAGAGGTGCCTTGCGGGATAGCAACCCATGCTTGTTATAGAGGTGCCTTGCGGGATAGCAACCCATGCTTGTTATAGAGGTGCCTTGCGGGATAGCAACCCATGCTTGTTATAGAGGTGCCTTGCGGGATAGCAACCCATGCTTGTTATAGAGGTGCCTTGCGGGATAGCAACCCATGCTTGTTATAGAGGTGCCTTGCGGGATAGCAACCCATGCTTGTTATTGAGGTGCCTTGCTGGATAGCAACCCATGCTTGTTATAGAGGTGCCTTGCGGGATAGCAACCCATGCTTGTTATAGAGGTGCCTTGCGGGATAGCAACCCATGCTTGTTATAGAGGTGCCTTGCGGGATAGCAACCCATGCTTGTTATAGAGGTGCCTTGCGGGATAGCAACCCATGCTTGTTATAGAGGTGCCTTGCGGGATAGCAACTCCATGCTTGCGCTTATCAGATAGATACCCATGCTTGTTATTGAGGTGCCTTGCTGGATAGCAACCCATGCTTGTTACAGAGGTGCCTTGCAGTGCTATTGATCTCGCTCTTATCATATACAGTGATACCGTGTTCTGTTATATGACTTCCATATTCTGCCTTGGTTGTGGAAATCTGTCTTGGTTCCGCACTCTACAGTGTGTGGTCGACACTTGGGTCTGTGGTGATCCTCTGTAAAGACTTGTGATCCTCAATAAACACTTGTGATGGACTATACAGACCTTTAATCCTCTGTGGAGACTGGTAGGCATTTATACACACTTATGACACCCATACGTTCAATGGTTGCCTGTAATCTGCTTCTGCTATCAAACTTTGTTCACTCAGTGTCAGGAGTTCCCACATCTTGGGAAAGAGGATGTGGAGGCCAAAGTCAAAGTCAAAGTCAAAGTCAAAGTGTTTATTGCATGAAAGGCCATTGGCCTATATACACAAATCATAGATATATAACAATATGTAAACATATTCGTTCTGCTGTAATCATTCATTCAATTATTTAAACCATGGATATTAGCATTCAGTGAGCTGGTAGAATAATCATACAATAGAATGTTTTAGTTTCAGTGCGGGATGTACATACAATGCAAGATCAGACAAAATTGCTTCATTTTTTGTAGCCAAGATCTTAGCCAAAAACGGGAAAACTGACATGGTTAGGACAATAATGTTCGCCAAGATATTTTTTCGCAGTAACTTAAAAGTTGGGCACAAAAAATATAAAATGGAATTCATCTTCAATTCCAGAGCTACACAAAGGGCATAATCGTAAAGACTTTTCTAAATCATGTTTTCTACCTTCATTGATCATTAGATTTGTAAGACCAAGTCTAAATCGAACAAATGTATTTCTAATATTTTTAGCATGAAGACAGGATAAATATTTTTCAGGTTCTAAGGTATCCTTAAAATAGACATAGGAGGTATAACGTGAACTGTCACTTAAAGTAGACATCCAGTCTTGCCGAAAGTTATCAATCAAACGTTGTCGAAAATCGGTGATAAACATATTTACATTTTCCACAGATTGTGACAGCAATATATATCCAAAACCAAGAGAGAAAAGTAACATACGGATGTGAGAAGCCCATGTGACTTTACCAAGATTATCATAGTGCAATAGCATGTTGTAAGCAAGTTTGGGTAGGCGATGTGCTGGCATTCTTAAAATTCTAATCCAGAATCGAATACATTTTACGTTAGTAAAACTACAGAGAAGGCAGCAAAGAGCATTATCAAAGAAAAAATATTGGCATCAGGTTGTGCCAGTGTGAATCAAAACCAAGTGCGATGAATGAAGGATTCGTTATTCTTGATAAGAACAATCCACATGTAAGTTGGATATAGCTTTTTTGTGAGGAGTTGCCTACACACCCAGTTCACAATTTGTTTC